TTTTATCCTCGGATCCAGGAATTCGAATGCGATGTCTCGGTAGCAGAAGGCGACCGAAAGAGGCAAGAATTCTCGTTCACCCTGTACGACTTCGACGGCCACGGGAAGATAACAAAGGACGACATAGCTGGCTTGGTCACTACCATTTACGATACCCTGGGCGCTTCCATCCAGGTACCTCCGTGCGGCAGTAAGACGATTAAGGTGAAATTGACTGTGTCGCCGGATCAGAGGAGCAGCCAGCCAAAGAGCGGCTGTTTGAACGCTTCTTCACAGCCGAACACCAGCTTTTCCGGAAATTCGTCCTGCTGCCATTTGAAGCACGCGTCCTGCAACAATGCCGCCGCTACTCACACAACGGCACACGGTTTACGTAGAGTTCCTAGAAGGAGAAGGGTGCCACGACACCGTTGCCAGGTAAGATTGATGCCCCTGCGAGAGGCGAGGATTCGAATATCTCGGTTTTTATGGAGCCGCGCGCGTCCCTCTTTCGTAACCCGACAATTCTAGAAGCTACAGGCGGATTTATCATTTATGCGTTTCGAGATTTATGAGCAGATGGAAACTCCAAGAGGAACGGAGGGACGTAGCGTTTTATTCGTTTTTAATCGACGCCGAACAACCGCTGCAACAATTCATGCGAATTTCTTTTTTTTTTTTCCTTATCTTTGATCGTGTTCGTCGTCCTTTTATATTAACGTGTAGGGATCTTGAAGATTTAATACGAGTATTCTTAATAATATGGACGATGAACTCGGCGGTCGCTGGCCGCTTAAATTTCACGTAACGCCATAGCGGTGTCACGTATAGTTACAAGAATAACAATCTTATCGGTGATAAACCGAAACAACGTTATTTCTTTTCTGTTTGTTATTTTATCCAGAACGAACAAAAGGAAGTGGAGACTCACAGCGAGGACGAGGGTGAAAACGCGCGAACGAATCGAATAAAGCAAGAGGAATTACGCAGAAGGGTGGGGCCCGTGCCTCATTTACCGTCACCCTATTCCAATAGCTCCGAGGGTGATATCAGCGACGACAGTGACGTTTCCCCAGCAGTTTCCCCCTTGGCGCCTCTCCTCACGACTAATCAACGAAAACGCAGCGGTGCCCTACAAAGGCAACAACTCTTGGAAATTATTCAGGCCAACATGGAAAAGAATAATCTCAGTTTTCATACGTCAAGGTACGTTGCTTTGTATTTAAATCGTCTAGAAAATCGTGTTATCTCCTTTGAATCGTGGAGCTAAATATTAGAAATGTATATGCCCCATCAGTTGCCTTTGAGTGAACCTCAGGAGCCTAAATTGCGCGCGACTGTACGGTCCATCAAACGTGTTAACGGCATAAAAAGCTGATATAATCGATCATTCCAGGAAACGGCATCAGAACGAGCAATTGCGCGTTCCGTCTCAAGCACCTCACGTCGAGTCTTCACCTCACTACAATCAGGACTGTCGATTGCCAACGGAATCGCGGCCTGCAACGATGGCGTACCATAAGCCGACACGGGAAAAGCCTCAGGGTTACACGACTTTTTCCAAGGTACCCGCCAAGTCACGGGGTAATTTAAGGAAAACTCGGATGCAGTACGGCCTGCAGCGGAACAACACCGCGATGCAACCACCTAGAGCTTACGTGCAACCTCAAGTTCTGCCTCGTACCGTGCTCAATCCCAACGTGTACGGGGATCAACAACCGCCTACGGGTGGTAACGCGAATCGCAATGTCGGTAACCTGATGCCAAACAATCAGCATCCGGTGAATCAGACACCACCGAACAATCACAATGTTCAGCGTAACGAAACGACCACGCAATTCGGTCAAACCACGCAACAACCGTGCGGTAAGTCGAGCAAGAAACACCAGTTGAAACACGCGACCAGAGAACAAGATCAGGCTAGAGCGATGGTACAGGTCGTTCGTTGGCTCGAACGAGAATTCTCGCAGAACGCGGCTGCGAGCTCCGGTCGGAAACACGTTCACGAACACATTCATCATCATTATCATCATTACCACACAGAGGCTCTTGTTTGATTCGTTCGTAGCGTCGCTCAAAAAGTACGTTCAGATGGAAGAGACATAGTAGGCGATCGGGGTTGACATTCTTGAATGGTATTGTTTCGAATCGTATACGACTGGTGAAAGTCCATTCACTCGAAGCTTTATGTAGTTTATTTTCCATGTGTTTCAATTTTATAGACGCTTTCGCCGTGGGATGAGGGCTGTAAACATTTTGTTCTTATAAATTCTTCAAATTTTTTACTGTACACGTATGGTATATGGTTTGTGACAGGATCTATAAAGTTTCTCTTTTCTTCAATTTATTACTGATATATTATGTATTGATTTCGTACATGGTATAAGTAGAATACTTCATCAACCTACAAACTGAGGATCAAAACAGCTGTCATACGACTTGAGATGCCAAAATGGCTAAGAATGAATGTTTGTTAATCGATTTCTACATTTTGCTACATTCTTTTGTGCAGCAATTTATACACATGTTTTTATCCGTTAAAGTGTACTGTGTTCCTGCTAAACATGTCAGAAAAAATATCACGCTTATATAGAGTTCGTTTCTTATTTTTATATCGATTCGATGATAACCAGTTTGATAATCACTGCCAAGTTTTATTCATTCTGGAAACAAGTTATTTCTCAGCCCAGTTACATAGTCGATCCAATGATGAATCAATTTGATTTTGACAAACATTATTGGTATCGCTCTATGGCAGTATGTAAGCGAGAAGTTCTATTCCTGAGACGTGTAATCGTGTTCATCTTATCTTTTAGGGATTGTTAATTATTTATCATACGGTATAGGTGAATCTTTTTTTCTATTTCTCTTCTGGATTTCCAGGATAAACGAAGGTACAAGTATACTTTCTTCATCTCTTCATAATCATAATTATTGTGAAGAAGATCCACAAAGATACCAATGATCTATTACTATATTAAACTGCTTGCTACGATGGTTGTTATTTCAAACATTTACATTGTCATTCGACGCATATACGTTCATGTATATAAACACTTTTACAAACATATTTCTTCCATATTTTATCTCGCAATTTTTCGAAGGAAGATCCTTTTATTTTTCCTTCCAACTATATGAAAGCGAACAGGAATTTGCGTTACGTTTTTAGTACAAAATACAGGGATCCGTTTCTCTTGTTCACAGAACTAATCTGTTTAATTTGAAGTAACAAGAGTACAATTATTTTACAACAAATTTATTCGATCTATTTATAGTAAACAATGTAATTTCATACGAAACAGTATTAGTGCGTAACAATAATGTAACCACTATACACAGTTGTATAAAATTTGTTGATAATTCCGGATACGCAAAGTATGTAGAAATTGATAGAAATATTTTAAACAAAGCGATGATATTCAACGGTACCGGAACTAAGAAAACGTGTTACTTACTTGAGGGACAAAGTGCTTTTCTAACTTGAGCTTCCTTGCTGAATGTTTAAGGAGATATTCTTAGGCAGAAAGTGTCTGCTGATTTTTTCTCTTAGACTTTAAGTGTTCCAACATACCTCTCGATGGATTTCCTTTGAATATTTCTTTCGGGACATATTTCATTCGATGGACAAATATATTTATTTAACAGAACTGAGAAACAAACGAGTTGTAAGTAAACGTTTAGTCAAAGAATCAAGAACATTGGATGACTGTTAACAAGTGTTGACATCAATTTTATATTGAGAAAGTAATAAAAGTAGTGTCGAATCTGATTCATTGAAAATTAATTTATAATGGTTTCGAATAAAAAATATTCGTTTGAAACTTTCGACAGTCGTTCAATGTTTTTCTTGATTGAATTGAGTGTTGTGATTTTTACGAGTGTTTTCATAACTTTAAACTCGTTCTCGTAAAAATTACAGCAAAAATCAATGGTGCTCCTATATTCCAACGAATACAATAGTTTACTCCATAACGGCGTTAATTCTATTTCCGTTGTATTTATGCTGTATTTTTCGACAATATGAGAAAGTATTAAGGTAATGTAACTTTAAGGGAACAAATCATATAATTCGTATTTGACCTGAACTTATGACATTGTTTTTTAATCTGATATTTCTTCCGTGCGCGTGTAGTATCATTTGTGATCATTTAAAACTCATTCATTTATTACAATACTTAAACAAAGTTAAACAAAAATATTGAGGATTTAATGGAGGAAGTATTATGTATACGTACCTTTCGAGACTTAACTTTTGAGTACAGATATAGGGTTGTAAAGAATAAAAATAAAATGAAAAATGATGGACTTATTAAGAGTGCCTTGCCATACCTTTGTTATATTATGCAAGTATTAACTATTGAATCTCTTTTATATATATATATATATATATAAAATTTCTTTAAACTCCAATGAATCATTGAATATTAATGTAATTAAGGGTAATGTTCATTTTAGTGGTATATTATTACACTACGGATCCATTATATTCGAAAATGCATGATGTTTAGGTCTAAATGAATCAGAAATTGTTGCGAATATTTTTCTATTAGAGGACTCGATGAGGAGAGTATAATTATAATATTTATTAATTACGATAGATATTACTAACAATATGATTAGACACGATGACAATTGCTACTTTGTAAATTTAATAAATCTTGGATGGTCAGCGCTGTCCAGAGACATGTAATTTTATATCGATCTTTGTAATCGTTGTAGATATTTTGTGTAATGTATTTTTTACTGATATTTATTAAAACACATTTTTTGATACTACATTATTGGAATTCACTTTGAATTCCTTCTCTATAGAGTGTTTCATAAAGCGGGCGAATAAAGTCTCGAAATTATTTTCAATTTTTTTCTCTGCACCTCCTTCGCCCAACTTTATTTCTACTTAAAAAAATCCGCCATTTTTTTAAAATTCGATCTCAGTGCCATCTCTTTCAAAACGGCTGAAACTACTCGAAAATTTACCGACTCTCATATGATAAGTCGCATCACCTTAATAATTTTACGGTCTTGTGTTGATTTTGACCGATCCCCATAAAAATAAAATCAAAGAGAGTCAAAAATTGAATCTTTTCAATTGGGAGTGGTAAACCGATTGCAGACCTATTTCGCTTGGGGATGTCTGGGAACCCTGAAATCATAACTCCTTGAGAAGAATAGCATGTCTAGTCTTTTTGTATCAGTAGTCACTGGTAAAACATATAAACAATGAAGAAGAATTTGACGATGGACGCACGAAGACGAGACAGGGAACAAATTGGGTTATGCGGTGTTGATAGAATTTGGGGCAAATCACCAACACGAATCGAAGAGTAAGAAGTTAATTGTTTCTCAATTTAGTTCCTATACGTTTCCAATTTTAATTATTTAGCTCCTTATTAATACTTATAATTCTCACCTGTGAACGTTGATTTCATATAGCTCTGACGAAGATGAAGAAACTAACAAATATAAGGATAGTATCGTACCAAAAGATCGAAAGAGGAAACACGAGATGAAGAAGAAGGTATTAAATTTTATATACTTTAGTAAATATATACTTTTGAAATAATTCTGTTTTAGTCATTTTTACCATTTTACTACTCCCTTAGAAAAGTAAAAAGTTAAAGAAAGAAAAAAAGGCTAAGAAAGAGAAAAAGAAAAAACGTAAAAAGAAGAAGAAGAAGTCTGACAGCAGTTCTGATAGCGAGTCTGAAGAACTAGAATGGGTAGAAAAGAATGGAATTAATGACAAAGCTAAAGTTAAGAGAGGATCAAGTTCAGAGGAGAGTGGTGATGAAAGTGTAGTAGGACCAGTTCAGAAACCTCATGTAACATTGTCTGCTAAAGATTTTGGTAAAGCTCTTTTACCAGGAGAAGGTGCTGCTATGGCTGCATATGTTGCTGAAGGAAAACGTATACCAAGAAGAGGTGAAATTGGTCTTACATCTGAGGAAATTGCCTCTTATGAGTCTGTTGGATATGTTATGAGTGGCAGCAGGTGACATACGTTTCTACAAATATTTTTCTTCTTTAGATGGAATAATAGTAATATTTAGTACATATTTTAATGTTTCCGTGTGTTTACAGGCATCGCCGAATGGAAGCTGTTCGTATTCGTAAAGAAAACCAGATTTATTCCGCCGACGAGAAACGCGCATTGGCTATGTTTAGTAAAGAGGAACGACAGAAACGAGAGAATCTTATCTTAGGCCAGTTTCGGGAAATGGTTAATCAAAAGTTGGCTCAGGAACAAAAGAACAAATGATTTTGTACAGATAATTTTCATCTAGTATCATGATGTACATAGACTGGATGAATGATAAAACATACATATATGTATGTATACACATATTAAAGTAGATGTAAATATGTTACATTCATTGAAATTAACTATATACTTTACTACATTTAAATTACTTATAACTATTTCTGTTTTTAATAACTAACTACTTTAGTACTAGGTACTAAAATTGTCATCAAGTCTATACCTTCTGACTATTTTCCCAATCTAACCATCCACCAACATAATTGTAGGCACTGAAACATGGATAAGTATGTTAAATTAGGTAACCTGTGAAATACATGTAAATAATTAAGGATTATACATATATGAGTACTTTTCATATCCAAGCTTTTGTATTTGTTCTTGAACCATACCACTCCTTTTTCCAGATCTACAACTTAGTATGATTTTTGTATCTTTAGAAGGTTTCTCTCTGTTGAATTTTTCTTTAAAATCCTTCTGAGAAAGATTCAGTAAAGTATTTGTAACTTCTCCCACTATAGAAACAGTTAATAATAATTATCTTATATTTAAAGAAACAATATTAAGTACTACAACACACTTGGTATATGAATACTTCCTGGAAGTTTGCCAGTTTCATCAATTTCCTCTTTCTCCCTAACATCAATAATCAAAATACTATTGTCTTTTTGAGCTTTTAAAATATCATTGTAATAAACATTAAGAGTTTTGTTTTCACTTTCACTCATGGTTTCTGAACTAGTATTAGTAACAGTGGAGGTTGAAAAATGCAAAGTTGATTGCACTAGAAAATAATATGTTGAATATATTTTGAACAGCATTGTACATTCAAATTAAATACAGTATTCGAATATGTATGTTTTTCATAAATTACCAGGTACAAAGTGTAATTTACGTGATGTGGTTCTTAATAACCTATCGTAAATAAATGCTGTTGGTATAATATTTGAGATCGGTTGATGCGACCTTATGTAGCTAAAAATCTTAAAAGACTGTTGTACTTTACTAAATGTCATGATTAATTGACGAATATAGGACATTCTGCTCCGTACACAATTGTATTGCAAGGGTTACAAGACTGATAAACGTTATCTGCAATTTACTCAAATGTTATAATGCATGTGAAGTTGTCATGTTAGTTCAAAATAAACTATTCCATTTTCAAGTACAATAACATCTACTGTACTCCATTTTTTGTATTACGATATGATCATGCCCCTAGATAATGATGATAATATTGCTTTATATCAATCTTTATCATGATATCAATAGCAATATAAACAGTAAGTTATACCAATGAACACAGCATAACTATTAATATGCAAGTTCGAAAGGAAAAAAAATTTGTATATCTACTATGTAATTTTATTTAAAATGTAATCATATGTTCATAATAATGCTTATGTTAAAATGACAATTACTTTGCGATAAAACGAAAGCCTATCACAAAGAGTGTACTTATGGAAGGAACAATGAACCTGACATAAACCACCAATTTAAGAATAAAATGTGCAAACATCGGTATGATTTCAAAAAAAATAAAGGAACTGTTGTATCAATTGTAACGTAGGGTAAAAAAGCTATGTAAAGATGACATTCTGAGCGCATTGCATTTTAATGATTCATCTATGCACGAAGAAAAAAGTTGAGAAAGTTTAGAAGAGTCAGGAAGAGCATATCCCGCTTTCGTATACGTCGCACCCTGATGAGGAATGCGGGAACTATAGCAATTTTTATTTCTCGTGCGTGGAGCAGTAAAGTGTACTAATTTATTGAAATAATTACGACACTCAACCCGTTTTTGCACCTTTGTATAATGTGAGTAATCGGACAACAATCCGCTAGGACCATCTGCTTGCGCTTCGATAACGCGGCATGTAAAAAGATCCTTACTGGATGCGCTTCGAGGATATTCTTTTGTTTATTTATACAACCCTTCAAGTTCGGAAAGTTACAAAAATATTAGGATCGCGTGCAAAAAGGAATATTCTCAGATTTTCAGCGGGTATATACCGATGAATCGAGTTTGCCAGGCTTCGAATGCTTTCCCGCTACGATGTTACGCATCAACGAAAAATCCAATATCTCCGGATTATCAACATTCCAGAGTGTTGACACCTCTGTCAGAGTGCTCTGCTTTACCATTACTATAACATCCTTGTCTCTTTCTCAGACAGGGACTTTGCGTAATTCTTTCTCTGTTTCTCGTTTTTGAATGCCATGTAGTGTCAACTAGAAGAATGCATGAATAGGTTTACGTTCCCAGTGATTTTTTAATACTCCGAGATGCGAGAGTGGTTAATCTGTGAGCGTGTTCGCATCTCTCCTATTCGTCTTCTTTCGAAGTCCGAGGTGAAGTGCTTTTAAATATTGCTTAAAAGCTTCTTAAGAACATTTCAATGAAAGCATACACTCGTTTCCTTTTAAAATTCTTCTTAGATCTTGCTTTGTTAACTTTTTAACACCGTATATGTAAGTATGTAAAAAGTAGGAGTTCATTTCTCAGGCTATACATTTTATATTTTTTTATAAAGTAAAATTTATAAATTAAATTATACATGAAAATTAGTAAAGTCTGCTGTAATATATGAGTACTAGGTAAAACTAATTTTAACACTGTATTTTCAGATAAAACACAGAAGGTCTAAATGAGAAAATAGAAAAAATGAGTTCTCTACAGCAAGGTAGCAGATTCTTGCCTTTTTCAAATAATAATATACAAAGGAAGCAATTGTCAATGCAAGGTATAATAATCATTCTAAAATTTATACTACTATGCAATTTTAACATTGCTTTCAACATGGTATAGGGAGGAATTGGAAATTCAAATTATTTTTTATTATATGTACCTTACAAAATATTGTGATTAACATTCTTCTTATGACATATATCTGATAGGTGGTCTTCCACAAAGTTTAAGCGGTAGTGAAACTGATGTTTCAACCTCAAATGAGAATTTAACCAATGAAGATCGATATGTTATAAGGCATACAGCACGTCAAGAGCCTCAAGGTCAAGAAAATCAGCAACAAAGTCCATCAAGATCTTCCAGTCACAAAGAAAATATACCAAATATACAAGTAAATATAAATGAATTTCATTATAACCATTTGCTAAATTGCATAAGTGTTAATTATTCTATTGTGATTTAGGGTAACCTGCTCAACAGAAACAGCTTGAAGGATAGCTTAAATGGATCAAACAGAAACAGTTTGAAAGAGAATTTAAATGGTTCCAATCGAAATAGCCTGAAAGATAGCATCAATGGCTCTAATAGGAACAGTTTGAAAGACAATTTAAGTAACCGTACCAGTGTGGGTTCAAATAGAAGTAGCTTAGATGTGTCTACAAGCTCATATAATACCCTCATCATACATAATGCTAATGATGATAATTCATGGATACCATCTGGAAGGTGATTATTATAATTACGAAAATATTTATTTTAATAAACAATAATTATTTGATTCTAGATTGTCAGGTGTGGTGAGAGAACATGGAGATGTGGGTTATTTATATTGTGATGGTAGTGGAAAAGGGCATTCAAATAGTCCTACTATGCAATCCTTATCAAACTTGTCTCATGAAGATCATGTTTATGAACAGCCTAATAATGGAGGATGCCAAGAAATTACAGACATCCCAGATGATTACCTTAGTCAGTCACAGGTGATTATTACATTGGCATTACTGTATGCATGAAAAAATCGTCTTGGAGTTAAGTTATTTCGATAACATTTATTAAATAAAACTGATTTTTTATTTAAATTGTTTGATTTTACTTAAAATAAGCAGGTATTAAAACATCTTGCTAAAGAAGTTAAAGTACCCTCTTATAGTAAGCTGACAAATAATGGAGGAAATATTGATGTGAGAGTAAGAGATGGTGATAGAGGGAAACAAAACGATAGCGAATCCGAGGATCGACCACCACCGTCATACATGTCCGTCTTGTTACCGTTAAAAAATAAATCTAGACTTCTTGGGCCAATGGAGAAATTAACATTATCAAGATCGCAACCCGATTTATCTAGAATTGGCAAACCGGATATCGATAACTACAATTTACGAGCTACTTCTCCACGGTGATTTCATTGAAACGATTATTGAAGTTAGTTAATTCTTAACGATTGTTTATTATAACTAATGTTTTATTTCCTATATTTTCATAGACCACAGACGAAAGGTAGAGAAGAAACAGAATCTGGAGCTGGTGAAATTTGGCCTCCATCAGAGATGATTCAAATCGTAATTCAAGAGAACAGTGCTTTAAAATTAGAATTAGAACGGTGTTACAGCAAAGTTGCTAAATCTCAAAAGTTGGAGCAAGAAATTGCGAAGGTGCACAGGGCTCACGAAGAATTGGCGGCATCGAGCGAACGAAGAGAAAAATTGGAACGTGCTGCTAGATTAAGGCTACAAAACGACTGCAGACGGTTAACTGAATTAAATCGGGCATTGAGAGATCAAATCGATCTGTTATCAGCTCGAACCGATAGTCCACCGATCGTAGAATCTATGAGAAAGGAATTAACTCAACGAGAATTATTAATTGGACAATTGATTACACAAAGTACGTATTCTCATCGTTATATGATCGAACAAAGAACATCTGGTGAATGTTAATTTCTCGTTACTTGAATTTTAGATAAAGAATTAGCTGCGGCGAAAGAAAGACAAGAAATCGAACTGGCAGCGCAACGAGCAACATTACAAGAACAACGTACGCACATAGATATTTTAGATACTGCTCTCACTAATGCACAAGGGAATGTCGTGCGTCTTGAAGAAGAGGTAATTTCCCCGTTTATATTCAAGCAAGTTATTTAATATTCACAGATCTATGATGATATTATTTACAATTTTGTACAGTGTCGAAAGAAGCAAGTATACGTAGAAAGAGTGGGCCAACTTCAACGAGCTTTGTCTTCTCTTCAAGCGTCCAGCGATAGAAGAGAAGAGACAGAAAGACAGTTGAGAGGTCAATTAGAACGAGAGTTAAGAGAAGGTGGTGGCGGCGGAGGCGGGGGTGGTGTTAATGGTAATGAACAATCGTCCAATGGAGAAACGATCGCAGAATTGAAACGAAGAATACGCGAAAGAGACGAAAAAATCATGTCACTCGAGGGTGACGTTGCGAAATGGGAACAACGATATCTCGAAGAGAGCGCTCTGAGGCAGGCTGCAATTGACGCAGCTAGTCTACCAAAGTACATTTCTTCATTTCGCTTATCATTACATCTATCGTGTGCACATTAATTACGATACTTATTTGATTTTAATTATCAGGGACGCCAAGATAGCTGCGTTAGAAAAAACGAGTCAGGATGCCGAGAAATTAATTGCGGAAGCGCGTTCCGAGAAAATGCGACATATGGATGAGGTGCATGCTGCACAGAAAAAGTTGGCTGATCTTGAATCTAGGTAGCGCTTGTACGAGTTGCGCATGTACAAGCAGATTGGAGCATAATTAACACTATTACTTTTTATTTTATACAGGATGAAAGACCTAGAATCGAAATTAGCTGAAAGGGATGCGATGATCCGAGTTCTTCAGAAACATACATACGACAAGGATAGCAGTAGCAGTAGCGGTGTCGGTAGCTATCCTGCTGCTCATTCGTCTCATTCGAGTACGTCCGCGGATCATCATACCGCGTTAACAAGCACGCCAGAACTTGGTAAGAGAATTGTTTTGAAAAAAGAAAGGCGAATATTGTGCGTTTGTCTAAAATCGGTAATTACTGATTGATATTTCTAACATCGTGTTAAAGTGAGCAGTGTATTAGGCGGAGGCAGCGGTTACGGAAGTACCGGTTCGTATGGTGTCACGGACAGTTATAAGTATAGGAAGCAAGGCAGTTTCGAGCAGACAAATAAAAGTCTCGATGATCAGTTAAAAGAGCTAGACTCCCAGCTACTTAGTAAGGTATGCAAGATTCAAGTAAATGTATAAATTTTTGTTAAACGTGAAAATAATTCGTCATGATTAAAATCAGTTTCCTAATAATGATAACTTTGCAAATCACTTTAAAATGAGTAGAATCATCTTCAGCCATTTTACAGAATTCTGCTTTTATTCCTACATATTAGTATTTTAACTTTGCGGCGATTATATGTTGAATTCTTTAGCATTTACTTTAGCTTCATAGCTACAGAAGACTATGAAACTATTAC